TCATGGTTAATCAACGACAAGACAACAGCTTTCCAAAGAAGCTCCGTTCCTTCAGAATAAATCAAGAGGTTATGTTTCGGTCTTACAATAGTCCGAAACCCTGGCTGCGAGGTGTGATTTCTACAAAACTCGGTGCCTTGCACTACGTGGTCAAATACAAACACCAACAACACAAGCGTCACATTGACCAATTACTGTCTTGTGGAATCACTCTTGACCACCCTTCACCGTCAAACTGCAACACTGATGTTCCAAATGCTGCTAATGCAACGACCAGAAAACGGGTAAAATTCTTTCTTGTATCCAACGCAACCTTTAGTCCTCAACTGGAGTCTACTTTTACTCAAACCTCACCACTTGTTTTTTCTGATAGGTCAAAGTCAATTCCTTGTCCAACTTTACATGATGAAATTTCAAACAAATCTAGTCCTACACTAAGTCAATCTTCTCCGAAGAACTCATCCATTCAATGTTCTCCGAAGAACTCATCTATTCAATGTTCTCCGAAGAACTCATCTATTCAAACCTCTCCGAAGAACTCATCTAGTCAATCTTCTTCGAGGAACTTATTAATTAAATCTTCTCCGGGGAATTTATCTACTGAATCACAGTCTACTTCTAACCAAACTTCGCAAAGAGGCTCACCGACCCAGTCAACTTCGGGTTCTAGCTCTTCACTCGATGTTTGACCACAACATCTCAAGTCACCGATTAGTCAACATTCAGAATCCTCTAGTCAATCTATCAACGTTACTCCTAAAAATGTACCTATATCAAAACCCAACACAGGTCGAGGCAGAGGTGTTTCTAAAGCCACCAAAAAACAATTTTCAGTTAAACCTGGTGTTACGACTTTTGGTCGCATTGTAAAACCTAAGGAACCATACTCTCCGGAGTAATAAATTGAATTATTGCTCTTTCACCGTAACATTGTTAAATGATTTTCAATTTTTTATTTTTCTGTTCCATTAGAAAAAATTTATTCACATAAATTTTTTTCTTCGCACTCTTGCGGAGATTGTGGTATCCGTCAAGCTGGTAGCATGTATTCCTAGGGAGATTTGCCCTAGTAGGTCGTGAAGCCTGGTTAGGCACTTGTAAGCTTATCAATAAAATGTGATCTTCTTCTTAGACCAGTGTCTCGCCTTCACCTTTTCCTTCAGAGGCATCTCTTGCGATATTATAGACTAGCGGAAAGCCCGTGACTAAAGTCACAGGTTTAGATGCTTCACCAAAAATTATTAATTTAATAACGGGGAGCATTAGGCCGATTTTGTTTCGGGGATGATACCACTATTCGACCACATTAGAGCTTGTTTTGCCTGAGTGAGCGTGACATTTCACGACGATACCGCTATTCGACCACGCGGAAGCTCCTGTTGCCTACACTGAAATTGAAGGCGAAATGAAATGACGTTAATTAATCCTCTCCAGTTTGGTGAAATGCGTTTTATAAAAACATTCCAAGTAACCGTGCACTTTCACAATGAAACAGCTATTCCACTATTTCCACGTTCTTATTTTATTTCAATCTCCCTCTCACTGCTTTCTTCTTTTTACTTTTCATTTCTTCTTTCTGTTTGCTTCTCCCACTTTTATTATCTTCTTCATCTCTCTAAATTTATTTTAGCTTATTTTCTTTCACTCTTCTTATTCTGCACCATTCGTTGTTCTTTTTTTTCTTCATGATGATGATCATCATCAGCATCAGCATCAGCATCATAATCATCATCCTCATCTCTCTCTTTTAATGTGCATGTGCTCGGACGGGAAGTAAAAAATAAAATAAAAACAGCATAATGGAGAACAGTTAGAGGAGCAACTACTTTACTGACAAACGCGGACCCGACATGACATACAAACAAATTAACAGACAGAGAACGTCTATTGCACGGGCGATGATATCACTCTTCGACCACGTGAGAGCTTGTGTTGCCTACACTAATAATTGAAGGCAAACTGTCATTCAACCACGTGGAAACTCGTGTTGCCTACGTTGAAATTTAAGGGGAACTAAAATGGCGTCAATATAATCTTTTTCTGTTTGGTAAACCCCTTTTTTTTAATTGGAGAGATCGGCAATCCACTTGATGAATATTCACCACAATTTGTGGTGAGATGTTAAAAGCGTGAAGCGTCTTGATCCGGTAGACAAAAAAAAAAATGTAACATAACCTATAACCTACCAATGTGTGATTAGATTTTTTTTTATCTTAATCTCAATTCATAAAACTCGACACATTTAATTTATTTAAAATTCAATTGATTTAAAATCGAATTCTTTGTCCGGCAAGGATGAATTTTACTGAATTAGGATGAACTTAGAACAAACGGGATAAATGCAGTTTTATGCTTATCAATCCTTTCGCATCTGGAAAATGCAGAAACTTGGTATTACGGACGTTTACGGTTGGATGCGAATGAAACTCTGGGTCCTGTTAGTTTTTGGTTCGACAAAACATGCCTCTTCCGCAATGCATTTCTGAAATGTCAAATACTTTCAAAATGGCAGCATGCGAATCCACCCGTAAACGTCCGTAATACCAAGTTTCCACCATTTTCCTCGCCATTTTGAAGTTATTCGGAATTTCAAAAAATTCAATGACAGATTCGTCTTTCTCATGCCAAAATGCCCCCTGATACCAAGTTTCATGCAAATTCACCGATAAGCAGTCTAATTTATTCTCTTGCCGCTCAAGGTCACCATATTGACCCCCGCCATTTGGAAAAGGACAAACATTTTCCGGGAAAATAATTCCAGAATCGTTTTAATCGTTCCAAAAAACCTCTGAGAACCAAGTTTCATCCCAATCCATCGACGAAAACGGGGATTTAGATTTCCGTTATTTTGAAATTTGACCGGCGGCCAGTCTGTCAAAAATCAAGAGTTTGACTTGCGGTTTGCGCCAAAAATCTTCTTTTTCAATTTTATATGAATTGATGTGTCACAAAGAGGATGTTGCCATTTAAAAAAAAAAGTTGGGGTCCGTCGCCCCTCTCCGTGGGGGGGGGGGGCAAAAACTTGGGGGCCCTGAAGGTAGCTTACATTGATCTTTGAACATTCCCGAAGTTTTGTTTCAAAATATTAATTAGGTAAAATTTTAGAATGTAAAAAATTTAAATGTAAAAAATTACATCACCCTCTTTTATCACTATTTATCCTGTTTAAAGCTTATCTACCCCGTTTCTCACTGATTATTTTCTTTTTCTTAAAATTTCTACCTCTTATTCCGGTTAATATGAATAAAGTGCGTCTTATCCCTGTCTATCCTATCGAACGATATATCGAAGATCTATGTACAATGCAATATGTTATCCCTATGAATGAAACCCCAAAAAAATGGCAGTAGGGGAGGAAGGCATGCCACAAGGGAAAAAATATAAATAAAGTGAGTGGAAGGGGGGACTGCGGGAGTTAGCGAATGAGTTGGAAGGGGGGAGGGTAGAATAAATGCTGGCAAAAAATTAGAACTAACCTAGCAATGATTTAAAAAAAAAAAATAAAAAAAATAAAATAAAAAAAAAATAAAAAAAACAGGAAGTATAAAATCCGTTGATTTCAACTTTGACTAGGCCGGGAAATGGAAATAAAACATCAGCTGATAGCAAACAAATTTTACCGAGGAAACCAAGGACGGAAACTTTCATAAAAACATTATAGTGGAAAACAGCGTAAGTAGGGCACTTACGTTAATTACCGTTTATAAGTAAACGGTAAATGCGATTTAACCGAAAATCTATACAGTTCATCAGACCAAAATGGACAAAATTACAAAATTTGAACCAGCTAACGTAAATCTAACGATAGTTATTGTGAACGAAAGAATTGCTGACATAGGTCGGGTAACCATTATAGGTGGGATGGGATGGGATGGGATTTCAACATGTGGTGCTGGAAGAGTCCGTCAGCGGGACGCTTGCCGCGTCAGAGGCCCCATGAGGTGCGTCGCGCCAACTTTGAGCGACTGTAGCGCGGTTAGAAATCATTTTCCCAGGATGATCTTGGGCTCATTTTGAAGCTTAGAGTGTCTAGTTTTAGGAAATAATAGATTTGAGGTCCTAACAATAATGCCCAAAAGCACAGGTTCAAAATTACGAAAAAGAGGCTATAAAAGAATGGGATTTACATCGAAAAATCATCATAACTTAATCAAAAGTCATTATTTTTTTCAAATTCAACCACTTAAAATAACAGTATTTTTACGCTAAATCTTACGCAAAAAAGAAAACTGCAATAACTTATACCGTTCAAAAGTTACAAGCATTCTAACATTTGGACTTTGATCCCCCCGCTCCTCCTCTTCCCCGGGGCTTAGGGCAAAAAATCGACCAATCTCGGGCTTCTCAGATGACTCTCTATCAGCTCCCGAAATATGACAAGATTCCCAGGGAGGGGGGGGGGGCAAAAACGCCGATTTTGAATGCCCTTTCAAATGTACCACATGTGCAGATCCATGAAAGTGAAGGTCTTTTCTTTGTCTGTGCTTCTACATCTACTTGACAGAGTGCGCTGAGTATGCAGAATTTTTCAAAATATTATAATGGAGGGAACTGTAACATACTTTCAAAAAATTTTAAAAAAATGTTAAAATATTGTCACAGTATTTTCGAAATATTTTAAAAATATTTTCGTGGTAACTGAGGAATACTCCTTAATGACTGTCTGCCCAGGAGGTACCAGAACGCTGTTTGACTCTTTAAATCTTTGATTACTTTTCAGAAAAGGTGCGGAAATTCCCAGAGGCGTCACTTCGACATGTCATTTTTGAAACGCTGTAAATTGGTCAAAAATTGACCTAGAGAATTCTATTCTCTAATTCTAGAGAAATTCATTCCGTTGTACCCACCATTACTAGCACATTAACTCCACGCAAACCGCATTTTGATATCTGCTACCTACCGTTCGACTAAAAGAAAAAAAAGGTGCAGTACTTTCGGGACACCTCTTGTAAGTACCTGCATATCCATCCAAACAAAATTTGACAGAAAATATTACTTACAATTTATTCTGCTTGGTGGAGTGGGAATCGGCTGATTGAGTTCGTCGCAATTTCAGTCGATGAAAAAACCCGTAGCTACTGGTGAAAGCACCGAGGCGAGAGTCATGGTTGCTCTGAGAAAGAAAAGAGAAATACGGGGGTTGAAATTAATAAATTAATGTGCCTTTATTATAAATATTTGAAATACGCACAAATACGGGTGTATTTGTTGGCAGTAAAGAGAGAAGAAAAATACGTATCTGATGATTTAGAAGACAAGGGAAGCTTCTGGATATCAGCAAGTACGTTCTCCGAACAAAAAATTCCGCACTTTTTAGTTACTATGATTATCTATGCCGCTTTTAGGCGGCCCCTTATATTATTCAGAGACAAGAGACCGTCCACTGGCCTTCCAGGGACAGGTGGAAGCTTTTACTTTCGGGGTTTCAACAATTCCTAATGGACAGTTATTAGGGAGCAACGGTCATCACCCTAATTTCGGCTGTTGACCTACCTACATGGTCGATGATGAGCTTCGGGTGACGTCATGAGCCAAACAAGTTTCCTAAACGTTGGCCATTTTTGGCTTGTTTGCAAAACGAAACTGCCAACACGTTGTTGAACATCAACCATGTAGGTAAGTCAACAGTAGAATGCTGAAGTCCCGAAAGTAAAAGCTTCCACAATGGCCAAGATAACTAGTGGAGGATCTCTTGTCTCTGATATTATCACTATAAAACATTTTAGGAGGGGAGACAATCTGAACCCCCGATTGAAACAAGATGGCAGCTGTTAAGTTTGCCGATACATGTTTTTTTTTTTGAAAGCGCTTTTCTTCGGTTGCTACTCATTCTGTTTTAATGTATTCTTTTTTAAAAGAAGGTATAAAAGTACTTTAGGAAGACGGCCACAGCACCGTTTAAAAGGCTCTTGCAGAGAAGAAACGGGAAACTATTGAAATTTTGATCGTATTGATTTTCTAGATAAAGCGTTGTTGCACAAGGAAAGGTTGTTGGGTGGATTTCTGTAGATTTTCATTTTGGGAATTTTTTTTCCTTCAAAGAAAATTTTACAGTAGGTAATCCAGAAAGCATTTTTTAGAAGTAGTATACTATGTAGAATCATATTTAAGTGGGGGGGGGGCC